GAGACAGGCTGAGGGTGTGGTCCCCTGTGTGCTGGGCCCACCCTAACTGAACGGTCACAGCACAGAGATTTAAATCACAGTGTCACAGGGCAGAGATTTTTGGGGAGAAACCAAGGTGGCTTTCTGCCACAGTGCCAAGATCCCAGGGGACGCGGGTGCGAGGTATGTCTTCCACACTCTCTAAACCGGTTGCAGAGACAGCATACCTGAGACTTGCAATTTTGAACAATCTGTGTGCTGGACTGCTCACTAAAATTAGGAATAAATATATCCCAGGGCTGAACCTTTTATGCCTCCCTTACAATTACTGCGCACCGAATATCTTAAAAATAGATTTAAGTGACACGATGAGTAAAGAGTCCCATTTAATCTATTTCAGCATGCTCACCACATTGCCGTTAGGCTTGTTTGGCCTCTGTTAACTTGGAGATGTAGAAAACCATCTGTTTCGGCTGGAGACTTCCCCCCCCCAAGACTCAGAGGAAATAAACCACATGGGTAAATTAAATTCACCGTGTTGCTGCCTTGCACTGTTGAAATATATATTTACAGCCATCAGATCAACATCCACAAAGTACGTTGAAACTCTGTAATTACTGTATTTACTAGACTCCAAGACAAGGGTTTCCCTCCCAGTCAGCACCAGGGAAAAAAGGCTCACCGTGGAATCAGGTATCAGCCTGGGGCAGGCAGATGCTCAGCTCTGGCTTCAGGATGAAGCTAGAGCTAAGCTACTGCCTACCTAGGGCTGAGAGGGCTCATTTGGTAGGGGATGGAGTCTCACAGCCAGGGGAGTGCAGAGGAGACCATAGATATGTGGTGAGAATAGGGGAGACTTGTGTATGCAGTTCAGGGGGAGCACAAGGGAGACTGCACAGCCTGCTCCCCCGTAGCTGCCCCCAGCTCCAGTCCCTCTAGCCCTGACCTAGCCCAGCTGGGAGCTGCTGCTGCTTCTCCCTGGCTGGACCAGGCTGGGGCTGCCAACACCGCTGACTGCCCTGGACACAGAGCACAGCTGCAGCAAAAGAGAAGCGGCAAGGGGGCTCTGGGATATGGGGTGGAAAGGAGTGGAGGAGCAGGGGTTGAGGGGGCAGGCAGGGAGAGCAAGGAGCAGGGGTCTGGTCTTTTGCCCCCTACCACTGCTTTGCCTGGCACAGCAGTAGGGGTACAAAATTAGGAAGACTTGCCACTAATTAGCTTCTGTGCATGGAAAATCACAACACATTTATAATTTTCTATATACATAATCTAATTTTTGGGCAGTCGTCTTAAATTCAAAGTGGTCTTGGACTCGGGTAAATACAGTAGTTCAGCTTTTCAGGTACAGGTACTCCTCACTTAACGTCATCCCGGTTAACATTGTTTCATTATTACATCGCTGATCTATTAGAGAACATACTCGCTTAAAGTCGTGCAATGTTTGATTATAACGTTGTTTGGCCGCTGCCTGCTAGTAGGTAGCTACTGAGATATAACTGGATTCACTTAACATCATTTTGTTTAAAGTCGCATTGTTCAAGAACATAACGACGTTAAGAGAGGAGTAGCTGTATTTATAATGCAGCTGTAAAGTGTCACTGATATCTAGAGAACAAAATGTCAAACCAGAGGTTTGGGGGGTTTTAGTCCACTGGTCACAGAGTAAAAAGCAGCAGCAGCATTTTAGATATTGTTAAAAGGTTATAATTCAGGACAAAAATAAAGAACAAAAATAGAGACAAGAGTCTCTAATTAAATAACAGTCTACCGGCTAAAGAACGCACCCAGTGTTTTATTTCCTAACTACAGACCTACTTGTATAATCTGGAAAGAGCCAAAAAGTTAAAGAAAGACACCATCAGGGCCCTACTCTGTCCATGTCCAAAGATTATGGTGTCAGACTCTCAGCCTTGTGGGTAGAAGCTGCCCCACTGTTTTAAAACAGATCATTAAATGGTTATTGGGCCAGGTAAGAGGGTGCATCTGTAGCCTAGTGGTTAGTGGACCTTGGATGTGGGCGACCAAGGTTGGTGTTCCTGTGATCCTAAGTCAAACGCAGGACCTGAATCTAGGTCTCAGAAAGGCCCTATCCACTACACTCCTGGCTGTTTTGAGGCGACTCTTACTCTCATTTCCTTGCAAAAATATTTTCAAAGCTTGTTTCCATTCTGTTGCAGACATACACGATGGCTGAAACCTTGAAACAATCGTTACAAAATGCAATTCCTGTCTTCTGGCCAGTGGTAGTCAAAGGCTGAATAAGGTTGCGTCTTGCGTGCCAACACATTGTGAAAGGGCGATGTTTCTTCCCAGCTACATAAATCGGTAGTCTGTTGGGCGGAGGGCAGTTCTAAGAGTGAATACCTGACCAGGTAAACCGAGACATGCCAACAATGGAACACCTGTTACATCAATTTCCAGAGATTTAAGTAATGCATTTTACTGGAGAGTGAACAAAGACGGGGTACAGGCGTTGGAGACCTAAAGTCAAGGAATGAGATGACTTAACTGGATCTTTAAAACTGTACAGTCAAGGTTGACAACACTGTATTATTAGCACAGTTCTCAGTGCTTTGCAAAGGGAACCAGCATTACAGGAATGCAGGCCTAAGACTATAATGCTTATTCTTCAGCAAAAGCCCCACAACTTGACTTCACCTGCCACAACTCAGCAAAATACTTAGGCTCCAAGTGTCGAACAGTCTAGCTCACAGTTTGCATCTTGGCTACTTCTTTTTGTCCCCGCTTTATGCTTTTCTACAGAGGACATGACTTTTGCTTTTGGAATGCCTCTTTCTGCACTGAGAAAGAGGTATGGGATCATACTCAAATGATTAATACAAACTACAATTTCATTTCATTTCAATCCCCAGCGCAGCTGACAAGAAGATACTTACAATATTCATCAGGGTCAGGAGATACTTCTGCACATGTTCTTTGCCATGGAACTGTACAACCGAGTCGTCAACTCCTAGCAGAACTTCAATGTTGTAGTCATCATCGGTCGCGTGCCTCCGATGCCTCCTTCTGGAGTTATTAACCCGATTTTCAAGAAGGTTTAACATACTGTCAAGATAATCCAAATTACTCAGGTCTGCCCCTGAAATGAAAGAAAAACCGACCATGAAAAAAAATAGCGTGCTTTTGTTTTCATTCTCATCAATACAAATAAAGAAATAAAATAAAGAATCAGGAAGGTAAAGTCTGTCTTTAAATACTCTGATAAGTTTGAAATAACTTCATTAGCTTTATTTATAAAGCTGGTATAGCTAAAAGAAAAAGCTGGCCTAGAGTACATTTACAATGCAACACATCTGAATCTTTTCCATATAACTTCTGCTTCTATTATTCTGTCCTGTTCTTATGACACTGTCTGAAGCAGAGACAGCTTTTTATATATGGGTCTATCCCACAATGCAAAATCAGCATCACCGTTATCATCAAATAAAACAGGATAGTGCTATAATGTGCTAACATACCGACAGAACAATTTGGAGCATTACCTTTGTAGGTGAGAAGGTATGAGTATACAAAGATTATTCGAGCATCTGGTGCTAGAACACAATCCTTAATTACATACCATGCCCCACACAAAACACCCCACTTTCATTAGTCTTATTCTCAAACTCCAGAATCAGACTTCAATGAAAATTCAGTGACACATATCAGCTTTCTGTATTCATCCACAAACAGATAACCCAACCTGCAGTTCCAATGCATTACACCGTCTTGCAGATCGATCCAGGAATGCCATGGATATATTTTTTACAAATCATAAAGGTTTTAGATGTTAATTACATTCAGTAATAACGTGGCCATGGATTTTTCAACAACTTTTAGTCTTTGATTGATATCATGTTGTATGTGGCTGTATCAATGTACAATTCTTTGGGTGTGACATTAGGTGGCATTAATATGCTTAATTGTTTCTAGTACCGCTAATGACTTAAACACAAATTCTGTGACATGATGGGATACAGCTGGTAGGTCCACTTAAAAATATTAAAAATGACTATGAAGAGACAAATATCCTGGCAATTAACCCTGTAAATTACTCTTACCACTACTACAGTAGTGTCAAGAAGCCCCGAACAAGAATCCCTTTCATTATTATGAATGACAATGACTTGATTACAGGGTATAAATATTTTCACAGAGAGAAAATACTAGTTACTTAAGGGCTCTTCAATCCAGGCAAAAAATGCATAACAAGAAGTAATAGCTAGAAGTTAAAGAAAGAAGGCATATGTTCTTAATAGCGAGGGGATTAATCATTGGAACAAACTGTAAAGCAAGAAGCAGATTCTCCAATTAAAGGAGTCTTCAAATCAAGACTGGAAGCTTTTCCAGAAGATAGGCATTAGCCAAGTACCGAACAGGCCATTACGACTGTAACTGTATGGCAGCAAAGGTGCAAGGTGATCTTGCAGTGTCTTCTGGCCATTAAAAAAATCTCAGAATCAGGGCCTCATCGCGTTGGCCACTGTACAAACACAGTAGAGGCAGAATCCCTGCTCCCAAAAAGCTCACAGTCCTGGTTGCAAACATGCAGCAGATTCACAACCAACACACACCTGGTTCTGTACCTCCCTTCTGCTATCTCGGATGGAGACTTCCTTCTACTGTAGCAACAGTCTCAACGACACCTAGCCAACACAACCATCACTGCGATTATTGCCCTGAAAACTGCCTTGGGTGCCCGGTCTTGGGGCAACTTGAAGTTTTGGAAATAAGACTGGTCAGAAACATTGGTTCAGCCTGAAAACCCCACTCCTCATCTTGACCCCCAGGCTGACCATGGATAGGCAAACTACCCCAGACTCCCGGCTTGGAAGGGACGTCCTTACCGGCCTCTGAAAACCTGCCAAGCAGCCTGCTATCACCTTATGGCGGTGTTCATTCCTCCATGAAAGCTCTAGCATTAATCTTTTATAGAGACCAGAAGTAATCATTTACCTATCACAGAGGTCTCATGAGATTTATTATGGACTCTGGTGGCAGTCATATTTTTATGCTCTATCAGGCCAATTGTAGTTACTGCGCAATTTGACTGTAAATCTTACAAGGTCTCTTGGAAAGCCAGACTAGCTTAGCAATGGCTGCAGGTTATGTCCTGTTTATGTTGCACACAAAAACCTATAGTAATAAAGGGCAAAGCAAAAGCTATTAAATGCAAGAGTGAGAAACGGTTTCTCTCTACTGTTTGGCAGGTGATGGAGACTGGCTCTCTGTGGGCCTGAACGCTTCAGTGCGAGCCAGGCTGAGAAGCCTGTGTTGAAGCCCTCGATGACAGGCAGTCGTGTTTAGCCTCCAATCTGTTATTCTTAGGGACGGTTGTTCTGTCAGGGCACTTATATCTTTTAGAGAAGTGTCTGCTTTTTTCCTCTCTTGTGTGTGTCAAAATCAAAATAAAATTACAACTCCTAGCACAGAGGCTGTGTTGCTGCCAGAAGGGATGCTTCATTGGACCCTACCTTCATTGAGCTTTGCAGGCAGTTTTTTTGTTTCTTTTTTTTTTTTTTTGCTGAATTCCCTCTTTACTCTTCCTTTCCTCATTTTTAGGCAATGCTCTTTATCTATCTAAAGGCTCCAGATGAATTTGTCTAGTAGGTTCTCAGAGTAGGTTGACCATATGTCCCAGTTTAGTCAGGACAATCCTGGATTTCGGAGGCTGGTGCTGGCCGGCTGATGAGAATTATAACAGGTGTCCCAGAAGTGCCGGGGCACAGGGTGCAGCGTGGCTGGGAGCACCTTGCAGGCATGCACCGCTGCCTGCCCATACAGTCCTAACCCCTGCCGACTTGTGAGAGCGTGGGGTGAGGAGGCCGTGTCCCAGACTTCCCAAGTGATGTCCCAGATTTCCATGTGGTCAGCTTACCTCTGTCTCCACATTTCTGGTGGGAAGCCAAGCAACACCTTTAAACATTTCTTTGGAACAAGGAATTCGCCTCCAATCTCATCTCTGCTTCCTAAGATGACTGCAGCACTTCCAATCCCTACCTCTTAGGATGTGGGCCAGTATCTTTCCCACAGCACAGCAAACTGTGCTGCATCACGCACGGCATCATCCTCCAGCACCAGACCAGACACTTGTATAGGCCTTACGAAGTTTGCATCGTGGTAACAGAAGACTCTTGTTTCTCATTCCAGTCTTTAACTTAGCATGACTCTCCTGTTACACCTTGGGATGATGCCTTCTCTTACATCTTCGGAGGAGGCATTGCCCCAAGGTGTCACAGGAGAGTTATGACAGGAAGAAGAAAAATAAAAAGAGTATACAGGCATACCTCGGAGATATTGCGGGTTCGGTTCCAGACCACCGCAATAAAGCGAATATCGCAATAAAGCGAGTCACACGAATTTTTTGGTTTCCCAGTGCATATAAAAGTTATGTTTACACTATACTGTAGTCTATTAAGTGTGCAATAGCATTATGTCTAAAAAAACAATGTACATACCTTAATTAAAAAATACTTTATTGCTAAAAAATGCTAACCATCATCTGAG